CAAACCTGGGTCTTTTGCAGTGTTTCCTGTTCCTGGGAATGGTACCATCATACATGCAATTGCATGAGCCACCTTTCTCTTTCTCCTTTCCCATATCAATCCATCCTCAGGTATTATTGATTTTATCACTAGAACATTTCTCAGTCGATCCAGTTCTCTCTACTTACAGAGTCACCCATGCTAGTCCAAACGACAATCACCTCTCACCTGGAATAATTGGTAGCCCACTAATTAGTCTCTCCTTATTTACTCTGCCATCAATGCAATCCATATTTCATACTTTACATGGAGAGACTTTTTTTTCCTTTCCAGAGACAGATCTGATTATATTACTCCCATAGGCTTAAAATTCTTTAATGCCTTTTCACTGCATTTATGCTAAAGGCCCTATTGTGGTCTTCAAAGCTCTTCATGGACCGCTTCTTCTTGTCGCATCTTACAGTTTATTCCCTTTCTCTCCTTGGCTTTCAGTGACAAAACTGAAAGACAGCTTTAAGTTCCATAAACATTATATGCGTTACACGATCCTTGCAAACTCCATTTTCTCCATCCAAAACATTCCTCACCATCCCCTTTCCTGTGTCTAGAGATCCCTGTTCATCTTTTGATTCTTAGTTTAAGTGTCTCTTTCTGGGGGGAGCATTTCTAGATGTCCTCAGTCTTTCACAGAATGATTTTTTTTCCTTCCAGAGCACTTATGTCTTTTTGTTATTATATATTTGTTAGTGTAATTATTTGAAAACTATCATTTAAGAAGTATCTCCTCCCATAGATAGTATGCTGGTACTGTTTATTTGTTTATTGGTATAGTTCTTGGATCATGGAAGGTATAGTTCTTGGATCATACATACTTCTGAATGAATAGATGAATATATTTATTTATCAATCTTTGTCTTTATTTCAGATTATTTCTTTGATCTATATTCCCAGTGATGAAATGAATGGATCAAAAGGTGCACAACCATTTTTAAATGGCTTTCAATACACAATTAGATGTATTAATAGATGATGAAACATTTTTCTCAAAAGAGCTCATTAATGAATCAAAAATAATCTGGGAAAAGTTTTAAGTGGCAATTTTAATGACTTTTTCCTTTGGCCCTCTCTTGTTTAAGCACTTATATCGGACTTAAATCTCTACAGAGAGAGAGAGTTTGTCAAAGATGCACCTGATATACATATATAGAAGGATACCAAGAACCTGATTAGTAGATACAGGATCCAAAAGGATCTTTGCATGTTATGGCAATGGCCTCAATATTTGAAGATGAAATCCAACAGAGCAAGTACAAGATCCTGCACTATATTTTTAAAATTCTATTGCTTGAGTACTGAGAGTGTGTTTTAGTGAGATCTGTGGCTGTCTCTCATGGCTCAGATCCAGAGTTCCTTTTACTGGCCCCTGTGTCCTCTGCCTTCCTTGACCTTCAGCCTGCTTTGTTTTCCTTTAATACCCGCCTATGTCCACTTTATTTCTTGCAGTTCTCACGCAATCCCAGTCTGGCTTCAGTCATGGTCTCCTATGTTGCCTCTTGATTGACACTGATCTGAAGACCAGCATTACTACTATTTATGTTTTTGTAAATGTAACATACGCTCTTTAAAAGAACATGTATTTCCTCTTTGTTAGGTATAGTGAATATTCCACACATGCACATGTCCTTGATGAGGCTTCTCCGTAATTACCTATCTTTTCCTGCTAGCTCTATCAGTTTCAGTGAGAAGAGTATTATAAATCTATCACTGCTGGTGGTGGAATTTATTCTTATAATTCTGTCAAGCATAGATTTATTTTTAGTCTGTGTTGTTATAGATTCAGCATTATTGTAAACTTCTTGGTGACTGTCTTTGACTTTAATAATGGTTTTTTTTTTTTGCTTTCAAGTTTACTTTGCTGATATTAATATTGTTTTTGATGGTTAATTTTATGTGTCCATCTTGAGGGTGTTTTCAAGTGAGATTAGTATTTATATCAGTGATGTTTGAGGAAAGCAGTTTGCCCTCCATAATGTGGGTGGGCTTCACCCAATCACTTGAATGCCTGAATTGAACAGAAAGACCAGCAAAAGAGAATTCTTCAGCAGACTGCCTTTATACTTCATCTGCACCATCCACTCTCCTGAATGTCCAGCCTGCCGGCCTACACTGTATATTTTGAACTGAACAGCTTCCATAATTGCATGAGCCAATTCTTTGTTGAAAATCTCTTTCTATATATGAATACATCCTATTGGTTCTGTTTCCCTGGAGAAAGCTGACCTAATACATAAAAATAACCAGATTTTTTGGTTAATATTTATTGGGCATATTTTTTTTTCCCCATTTTCTCTTGGAAATGGTGGTCACCTGGAAATGGTAGTATCTTGGAAATAACAAATAGCTGTTTTGTTTTACCTTTTCATATAATCTAAGACCTCTGTCATTTAATCATTGCATTTACTCTGTTTATATTTTCTGTGACTATGGCCATGGATGTGTTTAGACTTATTTCTACTATCTTCTCTTGTGTTTCGTTTTTATAATGATTGGTCTTTGTTCTTTGTTTTTTATTTTTCCTGCTCTCTTCCTGCCTTTTGTTGAATTGATTGTTTTCATCTTTTAAATGGAGAAACTTAAGCTTGGGTATCTCCAAGAAAACCAATTTCCAGGGAAGAAAAAAAAATCTACATATAGAAAAAAAGAAAGTTAAAACTGAGTCACAGAAAAATCTGGAATCTTATAAGTGAAAAACTCTGTGCTTTTGATAATGGAACTTATGTTACAAAAATGCCCTTTTAAAGCTTTCATATGATAATCTTGGTGTTGGCTTCCACAGGACAAGTGAGAAAAATCTTAATTTTTAAAGAATTATTTAAAAAATATTTAAGAATTCTTTAGCTAATAACATATGAGGAGGTATTTGGCTTTTTTGTTGTCCTCCTGGGCAACTTCCCTCTTGATATGATAAGCTACTCTGTCTAATTTGGTAGCCACTAGGCACACGTAGCTATTTAATTTAATTACATTTAAATACATATTTAAAATTCAGTTACACTAGCCACATTTCAAGCACCTAGTGGCCCCATTTGCTTAGTGGCTATTACTTTGGACAGTGCAGATTATAGAACATTTCCACCATTGTAGGACGTTCTATTGGACAGGTGGTGATAAACCTATAGTAGTACTGCAGCTTCATATACCTTGGAGCAGAACTATTTGAGAGACTGACTGCATCATGTTGCAGAATTTGTAACTGGAAATCTACAGCAGCTTTGTGTAACATTATTCCAGCATTTCCTGCTCTTGTGGCAAACAGTGACCAGCATGGGTAACAATGCCTACCATGGGGGCTATTGGAGGTTCCTGCTTCTGCACACAATCTCCAGGCTTGGCGCCCATTGGACATTGGAAGTGATATATACAGAGCAACAGCTTAAGGAGTGATGGTGATAATTAGAACTGAAGTGCTAACTTCTGTACCGCGGTGGGGATATTGATTTTCTGAATGGTGTGGGGAAGCCTAGAAAGGCTGGAACATTTCCAGCTGAAGCCAGATTGCAAAGGGTTGGGCATGGCCCAGATTGGCTCATAGCATTTGGCATTCATTTGAAACCCTGACCTCTCCACCTTGTTAACAGACTGGTTAGAACTCTTCTGAACCAACCGGTTAGGACATCTACCCTGAGCCTGTTGCACCACTGGCACAAGTGACTGATAGCTGCAGGTTAGAACTGATTTAGGAATGTATTGGCAGGAAGTGCCCACGCCAGCCTCCATCTGTTCCTGAATAGCCTTGATGGGCAGGTGAGACTTGCTTTCTTCCTCTGGACCAGCCAACATCTTCAAGACATCTGTGCCCATCCATTGCCGGAAGAACTTTGACTCAGGAAGAAGCTGAGAAAGCCCAAGTTCTTTGCTACTCTCTTACTCTCATATCATCTTGGCACTGGGTATGTCCAAGAAGAGAAAATCCCCACCTTAACTTTTCATTGTCAGTGGTGTTAGCCAGGCTCATATTCACCTGAATGGATTAATTCTTAAATATTTCAGCTTCTCAAATTTATTTTTTTAACCTTGGTTTGTGCTCACCTCCTGTGTAGAGCTGTCAAATGATTCCCCACCCTGCCACTGATTTCTTTATAATTCATTTCTTCCATACTTTGTTGGCGTTGTCGTTTTTTGCCACTTACAAAGTCAGAGTCTTTGGATTTCCCACTGGGATCTGTCATCACCTGACATTTCAGTATTGTACTAGGTAAACTAAAATATTCATTATCCATGTCTTTCCCAAAGTTGAAACTTTGTGTCATGTACTGTGGTAAGTACAGGAATACAAGGCCCAAGGTAGAATGATGTCCTTGCTCTCATGAAGTCATCCAGCAGGGGAGACAAATAATTAAGCTCTCAATTACTTGTAATGAAGGAAAATGTGGATACTGGTTTTGCATTTGACTTTATTATTCTTTAAATTTGACATACGAAAATAGTATATTTCAACAGTTTATGTATCTGAAAGACAAATGTACCAAAACTGGGATGATGGATTTAAGAACTGTGCAAATCTCCAATCTTCTATACAGGAGAGTGACAGAATGTAAGGTGAATTGAAGGAAGTGGCTCCCGTACAATTTTGGAAAACAAAGAGAGGTGGTAGGGGAGATATCCAGGAAGTCTCTCCAAGAAATTGGAGGTACGCCCTGGTTTGGCACCGCTTCCCGCACACACCGCCCCACCCAGGCTTCTGCGTGGCGGGAGCGCGGATCCGCCAGCGCACATAGCGTGGCTCCGCCCAGTTTGCGGAGATCGGCTGACTCGGAACTACGGTTCCCAGAAGGCCGTGCGAGTCCAGGAGGGAAGCGGTGGCGGTGGCGGTGGCGGTGGCAGGAAGGGCGCCAGTCACAGTGGTGGCGGGTGTTCCCTCTGTGATCGGTTAGGCAACACCCGAGACCCGGACGGAGGACGCGGCCCCGAGCGGACCGTGCAGCCCCGGGCAC